ATAATAAAAGTTATGTTTTTCTCAACCTCTTTTGGCATTTTAATTTTATTTTAGCTTGAATAGGCATTCATGAAATTGAACAGGCCATGCTTGCTACTATTATCAACTAGTCGATCTATACTAGAGAGAGAAAAGCTATCTTTTGGATAAGTTCTGTTGAAGTTAGTAAAATCAATATACATTTTTTATTTTTTGCTATGCTTTTTTAGAATGATTGCATTGGCAATCCAATCAAGGTAATATATCTCCTTAATGAAGCCTGCTTATAACATTTTACTGACTTTTTTTTGATCACTTTTTACCTCTTTAAGGCAAATGTTCTCTTCTTTTATCGAACTAGTTTCATGTTTGGGTTGGTGTATAACATATGGACCATTATTTTAGGATCTATCTCTAGCATATCTGATGGCGTTCATACAAATAGGTCAATGTTGTTTTTTAATAGCTGAATTAGTTGTTCTTTATGGTTAAGTTTGATCCCAATTTACATACACTTTTTTGGATTATTCTCTCAAAATGGTACAGGGATGAGGTCCTTTACCGGTTCTGGTCTATTGTCATTAACCTCAAGTCTCTGGTTATTTTTTTGTTCAATTAGATCGAGATAGATCTCGACGTGATAATTAGTTTCTTGTTGTTAGTAGAATGGCATATACCAACAAAGTATAACTCAATCAAAATGTAGATTTCTATTTCAAATTATATTGTGGCTGGCTTAATAGCTCAATCCTATTAACAAGTGTGTATGCTGGCTTAAGAGCTCAACTTTTGTAAATTTATTAAAAAACTATAAAAGTTATGGCTTACACAAGTATGAAGCTTAAGAGCTCAAAGCGACTTAAAAGCAGATTTTTTTTTCATCGGTTTTTTACTATTTCTTACCAAGGTTGCTTTGCTTTGCTTCTTTCACTTTTTTTATCTTTACACCAGTTGTCTCTATTTTTTTTGGCTTTTCTTCCTTGATCGAGCTATTAGTCTGCTTTCAGTCTTACCCTTTATCATCGTGACATAGCATTGTTGCATTGTGTATTAGTCTCCTCTAACCTCTCCAACCCTGTTTGGTGTCAGAAACTTAATTTTTAGCTAAAGAGCTAAGCCAATTAGTCGCATAACATACTGGCTTGGTCAACTTAGAATCATGTTAAAGGTTAAGGGCTTATTTACCACTATAAATTCAATAATCGAGGTGATGCTCCTCGACTTGTTACCCAATGTGATTGGTAGTTTGATTGTTCCTTTTACTGACACCTGTTCATTCCTAAAGTCGATCAGTGTGGTAATAAATGGCTTCAATAATTTTTTTTTGTTCCCATTCTTAGCTTTATGGCGTAGTATAAAACAACAGTCGAGCTCTTACTGTCAAATAAAATATTTTTTATCACGTAATTATAAACAACAGCAATGACTACGATAGCGTCATCATGAGATAATTGGATTCATTTCATGTTTTTCGACGTGAAATAGATCGGTTCATTTTTCTAGCTTTTTTTTTCTTCGTCGATAACCCTATAACCACAATCTATCTCTGATCGAACTTTCTTTTTATCGACGTAGAATTTTCCTTAGTAATCACATTGATTACGCCAGCAATGGGCATATTATCTATAACTTGGCCTTTTTCTTCTTGCTTGTTTCTCTGATTTCCACCACCTCAATTTCCATTTGGTCTATCCTCTGATTCCTTACTGGCTCTTCTCTACGATCTCCAATTTTGTAGTTTGGCCTGTCTTGACCCTTTTTTCATCAATCCATAAATCTTCTTGATTGACCTTTCTTAATCATACTTTTTATCTAATTTTTCTTGTCGATATAATTTTTAGTGTTATAGTCGAAGTCTTTATAAACTCACATTTTTTGTTGTGGTCTCGATAAGTGTTCTACCTCAGTGGCTTTGGCCATTTAAGCTCAGGGTCCTTTTTAATTTGCATCAAAATCTTCTATTTGGAGATATTTAATACAGTGTAGCTTCGTTGCTAGCTTGGGCTGCTGGCCTTAGGGTACTTTTATTGTCTCCCTCTTAGGGGAGGATCATAGATCTCCATGCCTTTTTTTCTAACTGAAAAGGAGAAATAAGTTTCTCTCACCTCAAGTTTTCACTATAGCTTTAGCGTTATGTAGTTTTTCACACAAGTAGCACATCGGCTAATGTCTTTGGCGGTTCAAAGGAGAGTGTAAATTTTAGGTGGTACTCTCTATCATTGAGTCAACTAGTGATGGCGACTACTATGGCCATTTGCACTATGTCTTTTACTTGTAGAACTTTCGTGTTAAAACATGTGATGTAATCTTTTAAAAGCTCGTTCCTGCCTTGATGGATAGACATTAGGCTTAGGGTGGTCTTTTTAGTTCTTTTGTTGTTGACAAATCTTGACAAAAAAAATGGCTGAGTTCCTTTAAGGTAGTAATGGACCTCGATTTCAGACTGTAATACTAGGATCGAGCTACTTCTTTGAGGGTTATGGCTAGACTTTTGTACAAGAGAGCTTCATTTGTACCCTGCATCATCATATTAGTCTCTAAATGATTAAAGGGGTTAGAGGTACCATCATAGGTTTCCAAGGTCAACATTTTGAACCCATTTAGAAGTATGGTTTGATCAATTTCTTTAGTGAAAGGTGAGGTCTCCAAGAATTTTAGCTCGTCTTTAAAAGATGCAACTTTTCCTTTTAGTTTCTTCTCCATTTCTTGCATCTTGGCTTTTAAGTATTTGTTCAGTTGGGGCTCTAGATCGATTGTTTGGATTTTTATATGGTTGTATAGGCAGAGTTGTGATTGGGATAGTGTTAATGGGTAGCTGAAATGGTGTGTTCCTACTCTTTAATGGCTGAAGAAGCCTCAACTTCCTCATAGCTCAATTGTCTTTTTATTGGTTGTCTAACAAAGGTGACTAGGTAGGCTACTTTTAAGGCTTGGGGTGATGTTATGCTTTAGAGCATTTATTTGAGGGCTTGGAACTATTTGGTCAAGGTTTGAAATTGTTCCATGGTCGGCCCTACTGCTGCCAATGTAGATCAGTCTATAGGTTGGCTATTGCGAGTTTCAGTCTCGACTGAAATAGTTGGCTCTCTTTCCTCATTGGCTTTTTTTCTAGGTGGCATAATGTTTTGTTCAGCTAAAGAATATAGCTCTTACCTAGCATGCCAAATATTGGTGTCAAACTCCGAGCTAAGGGTCAAAATCCTGAAATTACAAAAGAAAGAGAATGTTTAAAGGCAAAGGCAAAGAGTATTCTCTGCATTTGCATTTTGATGCTTAAGTTAAAGGTTGGTTAAAAAAGGTCAGAAAGAGAGTGAAAAGTAAAGACAGTAAAAGAAAATTAAGATAAGATAAATAGTATTTGGATGGCTTTATTTATAAGCAAAATGTGAGAGGTTTGTCAGGTAAAATATTGACGTAACCGATTTGACGTGGCAATGTATATGTGAGGTCCGCTCAAAAATAAAAAATGCCCCTAACTATGTGCTAACAATCTCCACTGAAGGAAAGACCAATTTGTCCTTTAAACCCAAAAATACCTCTAACATTAACCAAAATAGAACTAAACTACTAAACCTCAAATCCCACTCATTAAATCTTAGATTTTTTAATCAACTTCCTTTTCCATCTCTACCTAAAATCCATTCAAATACATAGTGTTTTGATGATAACCAAAAGTGTAATTGAAATAACAAAAGTTTTAATCTCAACATAATTCCAAGAATCCTTTTTCCAATCCTATTATCTCTTTAATTTCAGCCAAACTTTTTCTTTTTTAAAAAATAAAAATAAAAAATAATCCTAAATTAAATAAAATAAAAATTAACAAATAAAAATCTCAAAATTTAATCTTAAAATGGGAATTAAATCTCAAACTAAATAAAGTATCTATACATACTAGTATTAGCGTATATCCAAACTAACTATATCGTTGGACTCGGTAAATCCATATAGACCGTCCAATAACTCAAGTTGAGGAGCTCCATTCTATTATCAAATTGCTTTCAATATAAAACTTGAAATGACGTAAACAAGAATTAATTTTAATTTGAACAACTCAAAAAATTAATTTGAAATAATTAAATTTGAAATTAATTTAATTTTAAAAAATCAGTAATTTAAATTTGAAAATTTTATATTTAAATCAATCGATTGCTAAACTTAAATGGTTTGAACTAAACTTAAAATAATATGATTTTTTTAATTCAAAATGGCCTAATCTAAATCTAACTTGACTCATTAATTGCCATCCCTACTTTTTGGATTGAAAAAGGAAAGTAAGACCTGATCCAAACGCGGAGTCCCAACCTCATAACTGCTTTATCCTTGTTTTGTTTTGTTTTTTTTTTTTTTTGTTTTCTTTTCTCCTAACGTTTGATGTAAAAATATTAGAGGACTTGGTCATGCACCGAAAATTAATAAAGCACCATGAAAGAAACCTCCTAACTCTAGTATTTTCCTTCTTTATGGAGGCAAAGAGAAAGGGCATATTGCAATAGGCTAAAAGCTAAAGAGAAAGGGACAACTGAGTAGTAGTTTTTCCAAAGAGGAAAGAGCTAAGAGGCCAGAGGGCATCTTGGAACGTAGTCAAGCCGACCATTTGATCCTCGGTCAAAGTTAGAAATTAATTGAGCAACAAGTTGGAAAATTTTCACATCTATTTGCTTCCACTGAGTTGGAGGGGAGAGAGAGAAAAAGAGAGGGAAATCCCAATAGATGAAAAGATAAAATGGAAAAAGCTTTTAATGGAATCTCGATTTTGAAACAAATAAAAAATGCCACTAACTAAAATCATGGCAAAAAAAAAAAATACCAATGTTTTAGATTTGATAATTTTAAATATACTATTATAATATAATACGAAAATAATATACATAATATAAATTTAAAATTAAAAAAATTTATATGTAAATTTAATAAAAATTTAAATATAAATTTTATATTTGATGTAAATTATAAAATATATTTTTTATATTTTACATATATTAAATATAAAATAAATAAATAAATATAAATACACAAATTAACAAAATTACTTAAGACTAACATACAAAAAGAAAATTCAAATAGAATGCAAGAATAAAATGCGGAAATATATTGAACAAAAGTTAAAAGGTACTAGTAAATTGCCAAGTAATTCTAATTAACTTTTGGTCACTTCTTGGAGATAGAAACAAAACGAATTTTGAATTCAGAATTAATGAAATACATCTTGATCAAATCAAATCGTTGATGAAGTAGTACTAGTTTTTCATCCAACGGTAGTCATCATTTTGACAAATTCATCATAGTTAACCTGACCATCACCGTCCAAATCAGCTTCTTTGATCATCTGCTCTACCTCTTCATCAGTTAATTTCTCACCAAGATTGATCATGACATGCCTCAGCTACACGCATAATCAAATGAGGAAAACTAATTTTAAATTAATTTGGTTTAGATTCAAACCATATAATAAAAAAAGTTCAGAAGCAAAACCTCAAATTCAATGTCTTATAAAAAGATTATGGCTAATATTCATTGCATGCAAAAACCATTACAGCCTATCATCTATGCGTAGATGCCCACATGAAAATTTATTTGAACTAGGTGAAAACATGTGAAATACCCATATAAATAATTTAATTTTTTATGTGCAAATTTCAATGTAAAACAATGCAACAATGTCAATATCTCATTTAACATATGATATTATGAATATTATATTTAATATACTGTTAATGAATTATATAATAATATTTTAATAAAAATTAATTTTAAATTTTTAAAACTTTTAAAAAATAAATATATTTAATTTTAAAAATATATTTAAAATTAATTTTTTTATGAAATACTCTTACATGATTCACTAACAATATATAACATTTACATATTGACATTACATTAATAGATTTGTCTTGTATTAATCTTTGGTATTTTTTTCCAATTCTTTTTCTCTCTTACTTCGCTTTATTCCCTCACATGCCAGCTACCACCATAATGTTTGAAAATTTCTAAACAAACTTCCATGGATGGTCAAATAGTAATGGCCCTCCCTAGCTAGTTGTGTTTTGCATACTTTTCAATATGAAGGCAAATCTAAAAGATAAAGAATGTTGTAACTCCAAGTAAAAGTTTTCAAAATTGAATGGGTGATGTTCTGGATTGAATCTTCAAAGCAACAATTCTCTCATTGAACAAACCTTGGAAGAAAACAAAAATAAAAGAAAAGTTGGGTTAAGGTATTACTTGCATTTAAAGGAAAAGTACAAAAAAAATGCATGGAAGATTAACCTGTTAATGATTTATTAATTGGAAATGTTCAATAACCCAAAAAAAAAAAAAGAAGAAAAAGATATCAAAACCTACCTCAGTAGCTGAGATGTACCCATTTTGATCCTTGTCAAAAACCTTGAAAGCCTCTTTGAGTTCCTCCTCTGCATCAGTTTCCTGGTTTTTGACAGAAACAAGTTCAATCTTTTTCAGTTCTTGTGCTGAATGCTAAACTTTGTTTCCCCTTTTGTAGTCTTTTTTTTTTTTTTTCAGGCTGCAATTGTCATATCAAATAGAATTGAAGCAGTGTTAAAATGCTTATGGTAAAAATTTGTTTTTTACCTTCATTTTCTTGGCCATCAAGTTCAAGAACTCTGCAAACTCAATAGTTCCATTTCCATCAGCATCAACTTCATTTATCATGTCCTGGAGCTCTTCTTCCGTTGGATTTTGATCCAGGGATCTAATCACTGTAGCCAATTCTTCCACAGTAATGCAACCTAACAAACACGCAAATAGTAATACCATTAACGCAGGACTAATACTAGAATTATGCTTCATTAATTTTAAGCATAACGCATGAAGGAAAAACAAACCATCGCCATCTTTGTCAAAGAGACAGAACGCTTCTTTGAACTCAACAATCTGTTCTTCACGTAGTATATCTCCCATGCTTCTTTATTTGGTTGCCTGGAAAAGAACCTCAGGAAAGTTTGAGAGAGACAGAGAGAGAGAAAAAGAGAGAAGAGTATGTGTGTATGTTGAGTATAGCTCAAGATGAGCTGGGTTTATGTAGAATTCCAACGTAGGGAAGTCTAGTGAAATTTCTTTGCTAAAATTATAATTAAAACTAAAAAAATTTAATAATCAAAGTCAAATCAAGCCTATGAGCTAGGTTGGTTGTTACAGTACTAGTAAATTGCGTTAAATTTGTTATTCTTCACTCTCCAGCCGTATGAGATCAACGGCCCTTTTTTTTTTTTTTTTTAAAGAAGTGGTTATGCAAATTAATTGAGTGATATAATACAAAATGGTTTAAAATATTAAAAATATTATAAGTTAAAATTTTAATAAAAATTATATAAATTTAAAAAATAAAAATAATATCTGTAAGTATCACGAAAATAATATGAAAAAATATAAAAATAATATAATTTAAAATTTTTATAAAAATTATATATAAATTTAAAAAATAAAAAATATATTTTGTATTTTTTAGTAACATAATTTATTATATGTAAATTTTATATAAAATATAATATAATATATAAATTTATTAATATTTTATATAATAAAAATATATAAATTAATAAATTTATTTAAAAAATTTATTTAATATAAAAAGCTTTGAGATTAATTAAAATGTTAATCTGCCTTGTGTTTGTACAATAGTGAGTAAAATATGGGAAATTAAAATTTTAAAACAGCTGTAAGGGCTTGATGTGCAGGAGACAAAATTACAAAAGCATTCAAAATGCAAGACTGGAGACGAGTATGGGACAACGGGGACTGTTTCCATCATATTATTTTTTTCAACCCCCATAAAGCACGCTGCGTTGCTTGCACGAGCAGATCCATTTTCCGTACATGTTTCGAAAACTTTACCCTGCTATTCAACACGCTTGAAAACGCCCCTGTTACACGTTTTCGCATACCTTTCACCATCGTTTTGTCTTGAGAGGATCCATATTTGCAATAGTAATAGTATCTGTTTTTAATATTAAAATTTTAATTGTTATTGCGAAAAGATTACAAGCGGGGGGTTGTTGTCATTGGATAATTCAATTTAAATAGGGTTTTAAAGAAATTTCAAAAGGGGCAACTTAAGAATCTATTTAAATAAAAGTAAAATTAGTTTTATTGAAATTAAAAATAACGATAATTATGAAATTATTTATAATAATGATAAAATATGTATTTGTAATAGATAAATATAACAATCATTTACGCCACAAAAAACAATCTAACTGTGGGAATGTAAAATTAATTTTTAAACTTTATTTTTTCGGTTGAAATTAATTTTTGAAAAATGTTTACTAGAAAATATTTATATTTTTTGAAAAATTAAAGGTTTTTGTTGTTTGGATGAAGTAATGAAAAATATTTTTTATTATTTGATTTTTTTGGAAAATTTTTTTAAACAATATTAATATAACTATTAAAATATTAAAAATTATTTATTATTAAAGTATATTAAAATTATTTATTACTATAAAATTATTAATATTCAAGAATAATTGTATTTTAATAATAATATTTAATATTAAAATATTATATTAATATAAAAATACTTAAAATAAAACTATTTATTATTTTTATATTAATATTCTAAAATATTTAAAATAGTATTATTATTCTAAAAATATTATTTTTATTAAAATTAAAATAATAATATTTATTATTAAAATATTTATATTTTATACTAAAAGTATCTATTATTGAATCATAACAAAAATCTTTTTTATTTATATTTATTATTAAAATACAATATAAAAACTTTAATAAATAAAAAATAAATTTTTTAAATTAATAAATAAAAATAAATTATTTAAAATAGTTATATTAATTGAAAATTATTATTATATTATTTAAAATTAATTATTAAAAGAATAAAAATATTATTATCTATGTTATTATTTGTTGTTTAAATAATAATACACTACTATTTACTATTGAAATACTAAAAATATTTATGTTTAATAATATACAAATAAAAATATTTAAAATTGAAATATCAAAAGACTTTTAATACTAATTTTTTAATTTTTTTATTAAAATTAAATAAAATAATTTTATTAATATAATAATATTATAAGTCTAATCAATTCAAGTTTGGCTTAAAATATTTGTTCAAAGTCCGAGTAAAACTATAAAAATATTTAAAATTAAAATTTTAAAAAACTTTTAATATTAATATTTTAATTTTAAGTAATATTAAATGAAAATATTATTTATTAACATAATAATATTTTGGTCAAGTCAAATTAAATTTGAGTTTTAAAAAAAATCATATATAAAGTTTAATTTAAGTAAAATTATACTCAAATTCATTAACAAATAGTTTTATTTATAGATAATTCTTTTTTGAAAATTGTCTAAGAGAAGATAATTTCTAAAAAAATTACCTTATTTTTTGTTGATTAATTAATCATTTTCTATTAACTAATTAGCTTTTTACCAAATAAATACATGAAAATATAAATTTATTTTTTAAAAATCATTTTTTTTAAGCAAACAGAGCCTTATTTCAATACTTTTCCCTCCTAATTTTCAAGTGAAGAGATGACATGATCGGGATTCCCAGCTACACCATTAGAGTGTTACCTCAAATACACCCAAGTGTAGTTGGCGAAAAAAAAAAACAAGAGAAAAGATCCTCTTCACTACTTAAAAAGTAAAGAAAGTTTTCACTACATTATTTAATGGTCAATAATGTATTTTCACCTAAATTTATGGTTGAGATTTAATGATTTAAAAATAAATATAAAAATAAATAAAATTTAATTAAAAAATAAAAATGATTTAAATAAATATTAACTATGAATTTAGATAAAACTACACCTTTAAATAATAAAAAGTTTCACTAGTGGAGAGGATCCTTTAAAAAACAAATAACAAAATATGTATGGCTACAAAAGCCCAAGTCAATAAATGAAACTATAAATGTGCATGGCTGTCCACGCGGTTTTATTTTGCTGTATTGGCTCAGCAACCTTTAGCCATTGAGTAGGGTTTTACCCTTTGAAATTTGTGGCAAAGTTTTGTATTAGAAAACTTGTGATAGAAGCTAATCGTAATAAAATAATTTACTAAGCCAAGAAGTCGACACAGAATTAAAACGTGAGAAATAGGCAGAGGCAGGGTCATGGTCGACAGTTTAGACTTTGATTTCAACCTTCAAAACCCATGCTGGACAATGTCATATAACATGGAATTGACTTTGTCGAAATGTTTTGGGGAATGTTTTGGAAATGGAAAATGGAGCTTTTCTTTGTGCATATGCTTTCTGACTGAGTCGTCGGCCTGTAAATCTGGAAGAGGGGGGGGGGGGGGGGGGGCGCTTGAATCGTGTGCTTGATCAATGGTCTTGGTCTGCCACAATTTGAAAACCCATTTCATAGCCCAGTTGAAATTGAATTAATAAGACTTCAAAATGTTCAAGTCTCTGGCCTGTATGTAGAGGGCGGCTTTTAAAAGGTATTGCCACAGACTGGAAACAATACTAAAGCCTTTTTCACTTTTCAATTCAGTTGGATTACAAAAAAGATTACAACTTGAACTTGTGTACTAAAATCCAAAATAATTTTATTTTATTTAAAATAAATAATTTGAATATAAATAGTTTAAATAAAAAAATTAGTGTAAATGCAAATAACCTATTTCCGAGAACTCTAAGTATTTTTTTTTCACTTAAAACTACCAAGGCTGAAGTAACAATCGCTAATTACTCGATTGCCAATTCTAAAGTGAAACATGGCATTTGATTGTTTGAACCAATTGATGATGCATGTTCCTCCGTTTTAAGAGTTTGGTCCAATAGTTCAACTATATATGCAGCATCCTCTATCCCTCTTTTCCAAAATTACAAATAATTTTTACTTTAAAAATATACTAATTTCTTTTATCAAGTAAAATTTGAGAGAAAATAAATTTAAATTCAACTTTTTTATTAATAAAATCAAATTTAAACAAAATACTAATTTGCAAATATATGTAATACATCTTCATTTTTACTTTACATAAAATCGATAAAAATGAATTTTGAAAACCATTACCATTTTCTAGATTTATGAAAAAGCTTAAAGGTTATAAAATGTTCATAACTATAATTAAAAAATATTTGTTTTTTTTTTTATTACAATCAACTAATCCTTTCAATATTATTTGCATCCAATTAAACTCTTATTTGAATGAAAAAGTTAACACCATTAATTTTTTTGTTAGATAAAATTTTATGTGATATTAATAAATTAGATGAAATTTTGCCACTTAGTGCAATTAATATAAGTGAAAATTAAATAAAAAAACTATATTTTTTGCTTTTTAATTTTTTCTCCCTCTCTAAAATTATTCTAAGAGTTCAATTGAATGTAGTTTAAAAATTGATTGATTAAATTTTGTCCATAGACTAGATTTCGTCCATTTAAATGTTGAATTGAGTCGAAATAAAAGATTAAGGCTTGATTGATTGTAATATAATGTTAAAAACTTAAATGATTATTGAATTATAATTTAAGGATTTTTTTTAACTTTTAACCTATAAAAATTAAACAATGATTTGAAATAAGTTTCTAATATTTTATATATTGAAAATATTAAGGAAGCATTGGTTTACTAAATCTTAGATTCTGAGAGAAAGTGTGATCTTTAAGAAATGTGATTTTGGGGGAAGTGTGATTTTACATGATATCTCGTTTTAGATTTATGTGTTTGGTTGGGGGAATCTAAGATTACTTAATCAAGTATTTTTACTATAATATCTTTCACTATATAATAAATACAACAATATGTCAATTACTACATTAATTTCATTTAAGAAATGTAGGAAACACATTATTCAAGTGGCCAATTATTAAAAAAAAAAAATCATCAATTACTGCATTAATTTCATCCAAAAAATGTTAGAAACACAGTAATTATACAAATACAATGAACAATCACTACGTTTAGCTTCAAAGAAATGCAGTAATTGACAAATTCATAATAAATGCTCATTAACTCAAAAGTATCAAGTGATACAAAAAAAAAGAAGCCAAATACTGCATTTTTGTTCAAAGAAATGCAATAATTGCTATACTCATAATAAATGCTCATTAAATTAA